ATTAAAGCCAAGTGAGAGGCTACTTGCGGGGTGTATAACAAGAACTAGTTTGTCAGAATATATAAAGATTTCATTTACATCTAGCCTATTACATATATTAACATTTACGCTTCACAGAGACCTAGGCACCTTCATTATGCCCACTTTGCAAATACGGAATTTGAAGCATAGCATGGCTGCTAACTCACCCAGGGTTACACGGCCAAAAAGTGGCAGAATGAGGAAAGGCAGAAATAGCTTTTCATTCAAAGAGCCAATAAAAGTGTTGGATACTAAATGTAATGTGTGATCTTGGATTAGACCCTGAACCAGAAGTTTTTTTATTATAGTAAAATATACAGAACATAAAATGTACCATTTTACCCTTTTTTAAGAGTATATTTCAGTGGCATTAAGTACATTCACATCACCATGCAGCTACCACCACCATTCATCTCCAGGACCTTTTCTTTCTGTTTTTTTTAAAGATTTTATTTATTTATTTTTTGAGAGAGAGAGAGAGCACGAGTGGGGGAAGGAGGGGCAGAGGGAGAAGCAGACTCCCCGCTGAGCAGGGAGCCCGATGCGGGACTCGATCCCGGGACTCCGGGATCATGACCTGAGCCGAAGGCAGTTGCTTAACCGACTGAGCCACCCAGGCGCCCCATTCAGCTTTTTTAAATTTTTTAATTTTATTATTATTTTTTTTAAGATTTTATTTATTTATTTGAGGGAGAGAGAATGAGAGAGAGAGAGAGCACATGAGAGGGAGGAGGGTCAGAGGGAGAAGCAGACTCCCCGCTGAGCAGGGAGCCCAATGCGGGACTCGATCCCAGGACCCTGGGATCATGACCTGAGCCAAAGGCAGATGCTTAACCGACTGAGCCACCCAGGCGCCCATCTCCAGAACTTCTTTATCATCCCAAACTGAAACTCTGTCCCCATCAAACACTAACTCCCAGCCCCCAGCCTCCTAGCTCCTGTTACCCATTTCACTATTCCACCTTCATTCTCTGTGAACTTTACTATTCTAAGTGTCTCATGGAAGTAGAATCATACAGTATCTGTCCTTCCGTGTCTGGTTTATTTCACTGAGCATAAAGTCCTCGAGATTCATCCGTGTTGTGCATGTCATAGAATTTCCTTTTTTTTTCTTGAGCCTCAATACTATTTCATTGTATGGACAGACCACATTTGGTTTATCCAGTCATCTATTGATGGGCACTTGGGTTGTTTCCACCTTTTGGTTATTGTGAATAATGCTGCTATAAATATGGGTGTGTAAATATCTCTTCACATCCTTGCTTTGAATTCTTTGGGATATATATCCAGAAGTAGAACTGCTGCATCACATGGTAATTCTATGTTTAATTTTTGAGGAACCTACAATTTCTTTCTTTGCTATAAAGGATATTACTGGTGAAATATAAGGTCTATAGATTAAATAATAATACTGTCTCAATGTTTATTTCCTATACTATGACTATGTAAGAGAATGTCTCTGTTCTTAGAAAACACACATTGAACTGTTTAGGAATAATGGAGAGTCTGCAACTTACTCTCAAATAAATAAATAAATAAAATCTCGGGGCGCCTGGGTGGCTCAGTCGGTTAAGTGACTGCCCTCGGCTCAGGTCATGATCTCGGGGTCCTGGGATCAAGCCCCGCATCGGGCTCCCTGCTCGGCAGGAAGCCTGCTTCTCCCTTTCCCACTCCCCCCTGCTTGTGTTCCCTCTCTCGCTTTCTCTCTCTCTGTCAAATAAATAAATAAAATCTTTAAAAAAAAATCTCTTTATAGAATCTCTCTCTCTCTTTCTGAGGGAAGAGAGGCAGAAAGCAAAGTGGTAAAATATGAATAATCGGATACTCTGGGTGAAGGATAGACAGGGATTCTTTGTACTATTATTGCCATTTTTATTTACATCTGAATTTATTTCAAAGTGAAAAATCATTTAAAAAGTCATCTTACCCAGGGCTTCTTAATCAAGGGGGCTGCAGGACCGCCCAGGGAGCAGTTTGAAGGTCAAGTGGGAGCCACTGTCTTCTCGCAATGCCCAGAAAGGGGACGTGGCTTCCTCACCATCTCACGGAGCTCAGACATAGGCCAGCCAGGAGCAGAATCCTGCCAGCCTACAGACTGAGCTTCTCAAAGTCTGGAACGAGTTCCTTTAGGCTGGGCACATGGGCTCCTTGTCCATGGAGAGGAGAAACAAGAAGGGAAGGTGGGAGCAGAGACTTGTTGGTAGCCCACTCTCCATCCATGTGATGCTCCAGAAAAGCCTTGTGTGGAAGGGGGAGGAGGTGCTGCCCAAGGACTGAGATTTGAGAGAGGAAGAAAGGCTTTTTGCTCCTGTCTTAAAAAGAAAAAAACCCCAACTTCCCTGTTGTAGAAGCAACATAATGTAGTGACTAGGAGCTCGAATTCTTGAAGCGGTGAATCTTGAGTTCCTATTCCTGCTCTATCACTTACTCTATGACCTCCGACGAGCCACTTTATCCCAAAGACTCAATTTCCCCCAACTGTAATAATTAACAGAAACTACCAGCAGTAGAGAGGTTAAGTGTATGGCAACCGGAGTAAGACCACCTGGTTCAGACCTTAGACTGGCCACATACTTGCTGTGTGACCTTGGGCAACTTATTCAACCTCTCTGTGCCTTAGCTTCCTCCCCTGTAAGCTGGCAACAATAATAGTATCTTCACAGAATTGTTGTGAAGAGTAAATGAGTTAATATGGACACACTTCAGTATTCTTTGTTAGTTCCTGCTCATCTCCTCAGTCTCGTAGGGCTCAATCTTGGACCCTCTTCTCTAAGCTCCCTCATTCCTGGGCTTAAAATGCCATCCATATGCTACTATTGACAGACGTAAGTCTCCAGGTCATTCCTCTCCTCTGAATGCCACCTCTGCACATCTACCTGCTTGATCAGCATCTCCACCAAGACGTTAATACTATCTTAAACCTTTCACGTTCCAAAACTCAACTCTTGATCTTTGCTCCCCAAAGCTACTCTCGGTGTCTCCTATATATCTCTCATTTCTGCAAAGTCTATTCCTCCATTTACTCAGGCTAAAATCCTCAGGGATATTCATCAGAAAATCATGTTATCTGTACCTTTAAGGCATAACAAGAATCTGACTGCCTTTTACCACCTGCACGGTGACCCCACTGCTCCAAGCCATCATTACCTCTTGTCTGGACCAGCCCAACAGCTTCCTGGTCTCCCTGCTTCCTTTCCTGACCCCTCCCCACTGCCAGCCCCTTGCCATAGCCTCTTCTCCACACAGCATCCTGAGTGATCCGATTTAGCCAGTCATACCATACCCATCCTCTGCTCAAAACCCTCTGGCATCATCCCGTTGCACTAGAGAAAATGCCAGAGTCTTCACCAGGGAGGGAAAGGCCCTGCAGAGCTGGCTCTTCTATGACACTCCCCCTTGCTCACTTTGCTCCAGCCAGACTGGGCCCCCAAGCTGTTCCTCGAAGCCGGACACACTCCCACACCAGAGCTGGGCCCTTGACATTCCCTTTGCCTGGAACTCTGGTTCCCATGTGGCCTCATTCTCTCACTTTCTTCAAATCTTTGCTCAAAAGTCTAAGTAAGCTCCCTGGGACAGCCCAGCACTACCCCTGTCCTGCCCACTCGGGTGTATAACACCTTCTACCATCCTATTTCCTTCTTGATCTGTCATCTGTCTTTCTCCATTTGAAAAGAAGGGCTGGGGGGTGGGGGGCAGGGATTATGGTTCATTCTGTTCTTGAGTTTATCCCCAGAGCTTAGAACAGGGCTTGAATGAACAAAATGTTAGCTTTAATTATACTTCACTCTTTAACCAATAGTGATTACCAGAAAAGGGGCAGATTTAAACAATTATACTTTATGCCAAGAACCACCAAATGATGTCTAGGAGATCATGCTAAATAAATGAGTGAACTAAAAATTGCATGTATGCGAGAAGTTCAATGTTGTAAAAGGTATATAAAGAAAAAATAATACCCAAAAATGACATTAGTTTTATCACAAAATTATGCTGGGTTTCTTCCTCTGTCTCCTGATTGCCTCTGTTTTTCCAATTGTTGCTTTAAAAGTAAAATAAAATTTTAACTCATTAAAAAATGACTGATAATCAGATTAAAAAGGGACACAACCTCACTAGACATCAAGAAGATGCAAATTAAGATGCCAAGAGATGATTTGTCCCAATACACCGGTGGTGGTGTGAAAAACAGAACATTTTAGAAAACAATCTGACAATAGCTATTAAAAATGATTCTATTTCTCAGCATCTACCTAAATAAACACTTTTATACGTGCAGGCAGAGGCATGTTCAGTGACACTCATTGAAGTATCTTATATTTCCAGGGGAAAATTCAGAAGTTCCCTGAATCCCCCTCAGCAGATGAATGTTAAACTCTGGGACATCCATGGTATGGACTACTATGTAGCCATTAAACAGAACACAGTGGGTTTACAAGGCTGGAAGAATCCCTATGGCATACAGCAAGGTGAAAGATGTAGGTCATTGAACAATATATTCATTGGCTATGATTTATGATTTTTTAAAAAAGATTTTATTTATTTATTTGACAGAGAGAGATACAGCGAGAGAGGAACACAAGCAGGGGGAGTGGGAGAGGGAGAAGCAGGCTTCCCGTGGAGCAGGGAGCCCGATGCGGGGCTCGATCCCAGGACCCCAGTCTCATGACCTGAGCCAAAGGCAGACGCTTAACCAACTGAGCCACCCAGGCATCCCTGATTTATGATTTTGAAATAATGTATTTCTAAAAGTCCTATGTTATATATAGGTTGATAAATGCATTAAAAAGAGTGATGAAGTTAACTCACCAATCAAGGCGGTGAATGAGGCAGCAGCTAAGGGAGATTGTATTGCTAATATTAGAATTCTTGTGTACTCTAAGAATGTACACATAGAGGACTCGTGTAATTAAAAATAAATTGTATCTCTAAGAAAAGGAGGCTCCCATGCTCAACCATCCCACAATTCCCCTTAAACTCACTTCTTCAGTTAAGCCTTTCATGGGTGGTCCACCATTGAGTGCTTCCTCCTACAAGTGAATACGGCAGGGGAGAGTGTTCAAAGGGCAGGAGGAAATGAAGGAATGGGATAAAAGGGGGATGAGGGAACAGTGAACAGGGAAGGCAGAATGAGGAAAAACACGAAGAGAAAGAGAAGGAAAAACACTGTGAGTGAGAGAAGTCATGCCAATCTGAATACTTGCATCCCATTCTTTACATCCGCATGGTTGCACTGCTCTTGCTAAGGACACTCTGCATTTTAGACAAAACCTAGGAGCCTCAAGTGCCTGACAACATCAAAAAGGACCATAGGAAGTTATTTTTACCCTCACTGGTTCTTCATTTCACCTGTTCCCAAGAATTTATGGGGAAATATGCTTTCATTAAATGTATCTGCTCTTTACAATGTCCCTACATTCTACCCATTCGACAGTGGAGCTCAAGTCTGGTGGCCAGAAGTGGGTAGGGAAGGGTTGGGCCCCAGATCTGCCACCACCAAGCAGTGTGGTTTCGTCCCTTCCCACATCTATACGCCAGCAGTCTTCTCTCCTGTGGAATAGGGCTATAATCCTCCCTTCTCTCAAAGACAGAGTGAAGACAACTTTCAGGATGTGCTTTTATGGACTTGGAATCCACTGGAGGGCATGCACTCCTGAAATGGATGTGTGGTGGGTGGGTGGTGGGGCATGTATCTTAAAAGTGTTGGGAAACTTAGAACTTACATTCTCTTGGTTACTCATCTAAAGAAAAGGAAACTCACTGGTTCGCTCTATCTATCTATCTATCTATCTATCTATCTATCTATCTATCTATCTATCTACCTACCTACCTACCTAATCTCTTTCCATCCATCCATCTAACCATCCATGCATGCATCCATTCGTCCATCCATCTTTCTTCCTAGTTGTTGCTAAAGGAGGGGATGGGGAGAACACAACTGTACAAGCATCATGAGGGTCAACTATCATCTCTCAGATCCTAAAAAATGGTCCCACCAACTGAAGAGCAACATTATTCTCCACTCTCTCAAGTTTTCTCAACGTTTCCAAGATTCTTAACAATTTTCCTCTCCCAGAAACACCAAAACACCACCGCAGACAGGCAGATGGGGACATTCTCTGAGGGTTTTTTTTGGTTCTTGGCTTCCATTTAAAATGGTCATCAGGTTAAATAAGAACAAGCAAAAGTGCTCTAGCAGAAAGACTTCTCTTAAAGCTGTGTCAACAGAGACTTTATTTTTTTAAAGAAGTGTGCAAATAAACACATCTAACCCTAGCCTTACTGAGAGCTGTCCACAGCTGCCCCTCCTCTGGAGTCTGCACCCCAGCTGTGTCTGTGGGCGTCTGGTAGCAGGTTTGCTGGGCGTGGGGTTAAAACATCCCTCCTTGGCCAGAGGTACACAGGCAGGCCCCGGGATCTTGCCAGGTGTTTGCATTCTTCCAGGGAACATCAGAGAACGCATAAAGTTTAAGGAACGCATCAAATGTCACAAGTAGCCTCACAACAAACATCTGTTTGAAAGCCTCTGCAGACGTGGACATCCAAGCATGGTCAGGCCCGACCTCTCCCAGGAGTGGGAGCTGCAAGGGCAGGGCCCAGAGTGAGGGCACGTCTCTATCTGCTCGGCATCTTGAGAGCACCGCCATCACCACAGGGAGGCCAGAGACACCAGGAGGGCCCCTGCTTCCAGAATTATCTCCCCGGTGGCTGCTCTGGGAACAGAAATTCTACCATTCGTCAGGCATTCCTCTGGGGTGAAGCTTCACGGCATCTTTGGACACTCCTCCTTTAAGAGGAGCCTCTGAAGGATGCCCTGCTGGAGGCCACGCAGTGCGGGAGGTAGGCCAGCCCCACACCCCATCCCCGGGGCCTGCTCCCAGGGAAGTCTGCTCCAGGATGCTTACGGGTGTATGCAAGAGTTGGTTCACCTAATTCCCTCCCCTTCCTGCCCTCCATGACCCAAAGAGGTTTATTTCCCTTGGAAATTGTCCAGTCTAGTCTAGGACCCCTCCCCCTGCCACTGCAGGTGATGATATTGTTAACTCTATGATAAAGGTGGTTGAAACTAACACATCATCAGACAAGGCACCCCGTCCTTGCAGTCACCTGTAGACCCCCAGGTTACCCACCCCCACCTCAGTCCCTGTACTTCTTCAAGACTTTTCTCCTGGATCGTGGCCACCTCTTCCGGCACCTGTCGATGTCAGTGATGGTGGTTCCTGTGCCCTGCCCATCAGCTCCATGGCCCCCTCCTCTTGATCTCTTCTCTGCCCAATACCTCCATGCTTGGGCCCAGCCTTTCATTGCCAACTACTGCACCTTCTGCCCTGGACTTCCAACACCCACTCTGGACACTCCCCTTTGCTGCTCATTCCTGCAGGACTCCAGCCACTCACCAATACCCTAGGGACCCCCAATCCACTGACCCACCACTCTTCAGCACCTATCACTGCCTTGGGTCCTTACTCCTGTCCTTGCCTGGCTCAGTGTCAGGGAATGCACTGTCCTGACTCCTCCTGACTCCTTCCTCCTTCTTTCCCTCCAGTGGCATCACCCAGAGAAACTTCAGTCCCGGTTAAATTCAGTTCTGTAACTGCACTTGCACCTGCGCCATCGTGGCTGAAAGTAGCTGGAGAAACTCACAGCTATGTTGCACAATGAGAGGTCCTTCTGGAAGCACAGCTACAAGCCTGGAAACCCCCGCTCTGTGATTGTGGGTGAGCTGCTGGGGACCCGAGCCAAGGCCAAGCCTTCTCCTTTACTCAAGGCCATGGCTCCATGGAGCCTCCCCTCTGCCCCAGACCACTCCCATCCATGCATACGACATGTGGATGCTCCTGTTTTGACCTCACTTCCCCAAATACCAGGTCTCTCCCCTCTACAGAGACACCCCTGTAATACACAGAGGATCTGCATTACCCTCCCCATCTGCAACCCATCTCCTTAACGTTAGCCCCTGCCACTTGATGGGCACCTCTCTAGGTAGGGTCCCCTTAAGAGCCCCCATAGCTTGGTCAGGTCCTTCTTGGTCTTCCTAATCCATGGCCCAGCAGCTGCCATCAACACAGCCAACCCGTCCCCCATCTCCTTGAACACATCCTCCCTGGGGGCTCCTAGCACTTCACCCTGCCTGGTTTTGCTTCCGCCTCCCTGCCAGCCCCACTCCTGGTCTCTGGCTGGTTCCTCCTCCCAACCCTGCTTGCTCAGTGCTAGCAGACCCCCGGGCTTGGCGCCTGCACCTCTTATCAACGTGACCCCCTTTTCTCCCTGACCCATCCCCCCTGGCTCTCCCTTTTGCTCTGCACCTTAGCCGCCTTGCTGTCCCTGGAATACTCTTCCAGCTGGGTCTTTGCCTGAGATATCTGCACAGCTCACCCCTCACCTACTTCGGTGACATCTTCCCTGATAGCCTACTTAAAACTACAAACCGCTCCTCACCCTCATCACTCCCTATTTCGTTTTCTTAATTTATTTTTCTCCACAGCAATTATCACCCACCCCTCGAATGTAAGGCCCATGAGGGCAGAGCTTTATGCCTCTTTGGCTCACTCCCAGATACCCAGCCCTAGAACGGTGTCCGGCACGGGGTAGGTGCTCGATACACACTTGTAGAGCAAATAATGGATGCATTATAAGCTTATGCTAATTGTGAATTGTGATTTAGAACTTCAAGGACACGAAGGAAAGCATCACATACATTCCCACTTCTCTCTCAGGGCCGATTTTTCTCTTCCCTGCCCCCGTGGGGTAAGGTGTGGGACCACCAGGGCCTCCAAATGTCCCAGATTGACCCCCGGTCCTGAGTTCCAGGTTTCCTCTGGCTTTCTAAATGGCCAGAGGGTCTGGATCTTCTGCCCACCCAGACAGTGAGCAGCCAGCTGGTTGCACTTGGCTTTTTCTTCAAAGCAGGGTACCCCAGTGGTTCCCCTCCACTGGTCAGAGGGGACCTGGCTTGAGGTGGGACAACAAGGGCAAGAGGTGAACACCTAAGACCCAGATCCCAAACAGGAGAAGAAACGCGCCCCTGCTTCTCTGTAGCTTTGGGAACCTCTTATCACCTTGACCTTCCAACATTCCTGAGGCAAGAGGATAATCCCCATTCACCAGCTAAGAAAATCAAGGCTCAGAGAAGTTGAAGGGTTTGCCGGAAGTCACACAGACAGCTAGAAGGAAATCGGGAACCAGCTCTTGAACCAGTATCTCCTGAGGATTTATGGTATTAAGGGAAGACGCATGTGATATCACCACCACCCTCAATGGCTCACACTTTACTCTTGAGAACTCAAGATTTCCAAATCTTGGCCCACGGTTAGCCAAGTCTGCTTTCCACCCAAGGCCCGAGCTGCCACAGACTAGCCCAGGAGCAGATAACACCAACCTGACATTCTGGTCAGAAGGCCTCAGGCGCCTACCTAGGGCCAGCACACAGAGCCTTCAGTGACTGCCTGAGACTCAGCTCTTTGGCTGCCAACAACTGCCTGTATTTGAAATCAGAGACAATGTTCCCAAGTTAGAGCCTTTTATGATGTGCATTCTGGAGAAGCCACAATCTCCAGATCTCTTCTAGAACATAAGCTTGTGGAGGACAGGGAACAGTGCTTAGCACATAGCGGGCTCTCAATAAACATGTGTTCAATGAATTGTGAGTCTGGCCAGGCCCCGGCGGCCCAGTGGCGTGGGATGGGGGCACGGTAGAGCAGAGGGCTTCCTGCCTGGATCTCAGGCTCTGCCACCTGGGGCCATCCATGCCTCAGCAATCAAGGGCCAGGCAACTAGATGCTCCCTGGATTTAGGGTTCCCTCTCCCCCAACTGGAGTCTGCCAGGGCCCCTGCACCTGCCCAGGCCCCGCCGGCGCTCACCTGGGAGATGTGGGACTGCGTCTGCTCGCTCTCACCATCCCCCTCCGTCTTGTCGGTCAACAGCCCCTGCACCTGGTACTCGAGCACGTAGCTGTCAATGAAGCGCTCCAGCTCCTCGATCTCCTGGGAGCGGCTGCTCCCAGCCTCAGATGAGGCTGACGCAGCAGAGGAGTTCTCCATCCCTCCAGCTCAGGGGCTGTGTGGGGGCTGCAGGAGACACAACAGCGGGCTTGGTGAGACACAGCTGGAGGGAGGCGTGGACGATGCCCCACTTGAGAACCACTGCCCACTCCTGGAACCTTGTCTCATCCGTCCCGGCATCTTGGCCTCCCAACATCCCAGAGAAGTGAGTGGGGCACCAGCTTGCCTTCAATGTGAAGAATACGCTGCAAGTCTCCCTGCACGTGGAGGGAAACTGAGGCCCAGGGAAGGTAGGTAGCTTGCCTAACTGGCCAACGCAGTAACTTGTGCAGTGTTGGGTCTTAGTCCACACCTGGACCTTACCATGTGGGATTTGGCAGGAGACAGACCCAGCTTCCCAGCCAAGCCCCATTTCCCAACCTGGACTTAGCCAAATCTACCACAATGCAGAATGAAACAGACCATAGGCTTTGACGTCCCAGACTCAAGCACTGGGATGTCAGACACAAACCCCCTAAGGGGCCTGGGTCTTGCAGACACAAACCCCCTAAGGGGCCTGGGTCTTGCAGACACAAACCCCCTAAGGGGCCTGGGTCTTGCAGACACAAACCCCCTAAGGGGCCTGGGTCTTGCAGACACAAACCCCCTAAGGGGCCTGGGTCTTGCAAAAAAAAAACTCCTTCTAAAGAGATGCTTTCTCTTGGGACACCACACTACCCCCTAAATTAGGTGAGGCCTGTAGGCCTTAATTGTGTATACACAACTCTGCAGCCTTGTTACGATGCAGCTGACCAGGACACACTCCGCTCAGTCTGTAAGGATGTGACTGGTTTTTAATGAGAGAACATGAAGAGTCTGGGAGAGCATGCGCTAGCCATGGGCACTGTCTGGCCACCCTCCATGGGCATGTGGCTCTCTCATGAGCCCTCGGGCCCTCTCTCTGTGCTGGCCTGGCATCACGTGACTGGCATTCTAGGGATACTTGCTGAAGTCCACCCACAGAACTGCTGTCCTTCCCTGACCAGACTGGGCCAATCCAGCCATTCATTGCAGGGGCCCAGGCCTGCAGGGACAGCCCCCCCACTGCTTACTCCTGTCCCCCGAAGTTCCCACCTGGAAGTGGGGAGAACTGGGACCCTTCTCACCTCTGGGTCCCTTCCCACCAGAGACCCTCCCCTTCCTTCTGACAGGCTCTAGGCCAGATGGGAAGGGGCGTTCAGGCTTATCTGGTGTCCCTTTCGTCGTCGGAAAATTGCTGCTTTCCATGGGGGAGTGCATTCAAGCTGGAGAAAGCCCAGCCTGCATGTGGTTTCATCATCACAACTAGTAGAATGGTCTACCAAATGACCACCAGTAGATACACAAAGAAGACCCGAATAACACACAGCACTATGGGACCACGGGGGACTGCATGCATCTAGAAAGTGACTGTTGATAATAAAGGCAAGGTCCTCGTATATTGAAAGGAGCATTTGAATTTCAAGACCTTGGATTACTAGTAGAGAACTTTTTTGGAACACAGTTATTTGCCAACTATCAAGGGTTTGTTGAGTTTTCAACTGTAATGGATCCAAAACAGGACACTGGGTTCCAGAAATGCTGCTGAGACCATGAACATGTACTCCCCCAGACCGTCACCGGCCTTTTCAAAGGTTGGTGCTGGTGGTGGGGAAGAAGAGCTGCCTGGGGGGACGCACACATTCCTCAACTGATTTCCTGGCTCCTATTTTGGCTTTTGGCTGCCGCATGGGGCCCTGCCTCCGCTGGACCCCAGGCCAGCTGCAGAGGAGCTGTGCTTGCTCTGGGTTCCTGAGCTCTGCAGCCTTGGGCCTCATGGGTATGTGCACCTGATCCAGAGGGAAGAGTCCGAAGTTTCGGGCCCGGGTACCCTCATCAGAGGGCAGGTGTGGAGGCCAGGGTGGTGGCAGGTCTGCAGAGAGTTGGCTCAGACTGGGGAGAAGCATGCCGAGTGGTGCAGGGCCATGGTCGGAGGTAAAGGTGGGGATGTCCCATGCCCCTTCCTCCACTTGCCATTCAAGGCCTATAGCAGGCTTACACCCTTCCTACCACCACGGCCTACCTTACCCCTCCTGCTCCAATGGTTGCCCATGACTCCCTCTTACCCTACTCCTTGTCCTGGCCACATGCCCTGTGTGGTAGGCAGAACACTAAGAGGGTTCTGGGTGTACACCTTCTCCTAATTACTCAAACACTAATCTAGCTAATCCTGGGAAGGGATTTTGCAAATATAATTAAATTCCAAATCAGCAGACCTTAAGATAGGGAGACTATTCAGGAGGTCCTCATCCAGTCACATGAGCCTCTTAAATCTGGGATGGGAGGTAGAGACAGAGATTCAAAGCATGAGAAAGACTCAGCACACTGTGGCTGGCTTAAAGAAGAAGGAGCGTGTGCAAAGAAAGCAGGCAGCGTCCAGGAACTGAGAAGCAGTCCTTGGTCAATGACCAGCAAGGAGAAGGGCACCTCAGTCCTACAACCGCAAGCAAGTAATTTCTGCCAACAACCGATGAGCCTGGGAGCAGACTTTGTCCCCAAGTCTCCAAATGAGAACTCAGCCTGGCTGACACTTGGGTTTGTCTCATGATTTACTAGCTGGACTTTTGACTTTTAGAACTGTGAGGTAATAAGCGGGTATTGTTTTAAGCTGCTAAGTTTGTAGCAGTTTGTTACGAGGCCATAGAAAGCGAACATGTGATGCTCTCTCTCTGCCTCTGCTTTTGCTCACACTGTGCCCCTCACCCAGGGACACATTCCCCTTCCCTCTGCCTACAAAATCCAGCAGTCCTTACACGCACAGAATGCTAGAACAGTGCCTCAGCGGCCATCTGGCAACCAGCTCAATCCCCTGCTTTCAGAGTGGGCTAGTGGGCAAAGGATCCACCCCACCTTGGCCTGTGGGCATGGATACTGTGACTTCTAATAACAGGAATGGCTAAAGTGCCCTGGGCCTATATCACATGCCAGGCACTGTTCCCAGCACTTGATATACCTTCTCCCACTTACCCCTCACAATAATGCCATGAAACTCGTATAATTATACTACTTAGAAAAGTGAAAACTGAGGGGGTGCCTGGGTGGCTCAGATGGTTAAGCATCTGCCTTCGGCTCAGGTCATGATCCCAGGGTCCTGGGATCGAGTCCCGCATCGGGCTCCCTGCTCCGCGAGGAGCCTGCTTCTCCCTCTGCCTCTTATGAATAAATAAATAAAATCTTAAAAAAAAAAAAAAAGTGAAAACTGAGGTTCAGAGAGGTTAGGTAACTTGCTCAAGTTTGCACAGCACAGTTCCAGGCATGCCTATACCTCACTGCCTCTTCATCCCACCTCCTAGCAGTCTGCTCAGGCTCTCAGGACATCTCCCACTTCTCATTCTCCACTACCCTTCCAAAGCCCAGTGGATTCTTCAAGTGCTGTGTGTGCCTCTTACCCCCCCACTGGGCTGCAGGCTCTAGAGGGCTGGGCCCCGTGCCTAGCTCACTGCCTGGCACTGGGCAGATGGCTGGGCCTCAGGGGGGGTGGGATGATAAGGCGGATGTCCAGAGAGGGTTGAAAGGGAGCTGCCTGCTGGAAAAGCTAGTGTCTCAGGCCATGCCCATTATTCCTCGAAGACAAGATCTTATCAAGGGCCTCCTGGCATACTTTACAGGTACGGGCGGAGGACTGGGCTTTGCAGGAACTAGACAGGAGTGCTTCCAGGAGGATCAAGTGCCTGGCTCTGCCTGCAGCAGCAGCTCTGGCCTGCTCTGCTGGACTCTCCCAGGCTCTCGCAGGCCCCTCACCAGGCCACACCACGGTCCCGTGAGGAGCCCTGGGATCAGTGATCACCGCGGAAAGGGACAGGCAGTGAGACCCACTCCCAGCCTGCCCAAGTTTGGTGCCCAGAGGGAAACAGAGGACTCCCACACTGGTCGCTTCTGGATGGCTTGGGTGTCCTCACATCCTCTCGGTGCCCCTCCCGTTGTAGTCAGAGTCACACGGGGAGCCTGACAGTACCTCCCTTCAGCTGCCCTGAGCGCATTCTGCCCAGGGCTCCCCTGGCACACCCAGCAGATGCCAGCAGGGCCCCCCTGGCGCCTGGCGCCTGGCTCCTGTGCCCTAGCAGGACGAGGTGCTAACTGCTCCTGGGGCAGCCCTTGACGAACACTCTCTCCTCGGTCTCTCATGACAACTGAGGTGTGTTCTTCACTGTCCCTCAGCAGGTCCCAGCGGACTGGGCCCAGCTGCCCACAGTGGGGACCAGACCCGTAACACCCCTTTTTCTGGCCCTCCTTCCTCCTGTGTCACTCTCCCCAGGGATGCCTGTTCTTGGGGTACATCCAGGAACTCCACTTTCTGAGAGGGAACCAGGCTAACGTATCACCTGGGCTCATTTGTACATTCTAGAATGAGTCCCAACCAGGGCACTTTACCTCTTCAGCAGACACGAGGGAGGAAGGAGAGGAAGGGGGTGCTGTCCACATCATCCATCTCCTCAGCTACCGGGCTGGAAGTTCAGTCAGGCACTCACACCCCATTTTTAAAAATTGTGGTAAAATACATTTGCACAACATAAAACGTACCACTGTAACCATTTTTAAGCATACAGTTCGGTGGTATTAAGAGTTTTCACAATGTTGTATATGCATCATCACTATATTTCCAGAACTTTCCAGCATCCCAGACGGAAACTCTGTGCCTATTCAGCAACAACTCCCACTCCCCTCATCTCAGCCCCTGGCAACTCTCGCTCTCCCTTCGGGCTCCACGGATCTGTCTATTCTGGGTACCTCCTGTAAGTGGAATCATACAATATTTGTTCTTTTGTGACTGGGTTCTTTCACTCAGGATAATGTTTTCAAGATTCACTCACGGTGGAACATGTATCAGAATTTCACGTCAGACGCTGTATTACAATAACATATTGTGCCCAGAAACCCCATTTTGTGCGTCCATCATCCATCCATGGACGTGTGGCTTGTTTGCACCTTTGGCTGTTGTGAGTATTGCTGTTATGAACATGGGTGTACCATCTGAGTCCTTGTTTTCAATTCTTTGGGGTGCATA